TAATTTTTTTACGCCTATCTGTTAGAATATTTCAACACGAATTCGGTAAGTATCATAACATAACATGTGTTAGGCGTAAAAAAATGATAGGTGTATTTGCAAAAATTTGAAGGTGACTTTGAAAAATCATGACAAAAAATTTGCTATAATCACGTTAAAGCTTTCTTGAAACCATGCTATACCTGATAAAAACATTTTCGATCGGACTGTTAATAACAGAGCAATCTCCTGATTCTGCGATCACTGTGATAAATCATTATTAGGGATTTTGCACCCCTAACCACCCCTCGAAGTTTCGACCCGAAAATACTATCTCGAAAACCAGAGGAGATACATGAAAACTTCTACTGAACGAGGTTTGCGGTTTTTTATGTAGAATAACATGTTACTAAAAAATCGTCCAAAATAGAATTTGTTTATAACAAAAAAATTTCGGATGGAAACTTCGAGGGGTGGTTTCACCCCTTAAAGCCGCGTCTCAGCCGATAAAAAAAAATACGTATCCCTTGTTTTTGACTGCTTAACAGACATACAAAGTTCCACCGAAATCGGAGAGGGACACTTCCGTGCGTTCCCTCGTAAGAACAAGTAGTATCGAGGCAACGCGGAAAGGTCGAGGGAAGTCAAGTTGGGTTAGGTTAGCGTCGTGAACGACAGGGGAGGGTTTCGCTTCGATAAAGTTTGTTCGATCGGCCGTTAGTCTGGTTCATAAGGGGCCACAGAAAGCACACTCTTAGCTCCTGGCCGCCACGGATCCTCGCCGCGTGCGTGCGTAATACCCCCAAGCCCGGCCATCCGAGAGTTTTTCTAAAACCGTTGGGGGATAGAGAAAGAGTTTCCCTCTCGGTATTCTCCGTTCGCTCAACTCACCACCCTTCTTCCTTCTGTACTCCACCGCTGACAACGTCGACTTTAAGAGCGAACGAACGAAACGTCGGCTCCTCCGCCTCGGAAAACGTGCAACGACCACCACCACCCGGCCAGACGCGAGCGTTTAACTTTGTTCCGAAGTTCTCCAAGGTCGTGTGGTATACGGCTGTAGGTCGGTGGTGCAAGAGAAGTAGGAGGGGGAGGCGAGAGAGACCAGAGGGGAGGATAAGAGGGGGAGAATTTCCGAGGCCGCGTCATAAATCTCTATCTGCCGGGGGTAAACGCTCGCGGGATATACTTCGGCGACGTCTGTAATTTCGCGCCATCAGACCAGGCTTCTATCTCTGTCTCCCTTTATACGCCTCTTTCTCCCTCGTTTGTTTCCGACTTTTCGTTCTGGTATAGCTCACCTTCCCTCTCCCATTCTCTCGCGTTCTTTACTCCCCCTGTCTTCGTTCCTTCGGCATTCCCTGGTCCTGGACGGGTATCTGCGATTTATTTCGCTAGTCTCACGAAAGCGAACCGACTCCCATAGTTTTCTGGATCGACAACCGGGATCACGGTAACGCGCTCGGGGAACGCCTCCTTTTTTTCCATTGCGCACCAGGTACACTGACGTGCAAACTCGGCTTCTTCTAGGGGAAAAAGCAATGTAAGGGTAAGGACCTCCTACCAGTTGATAAATTCATTTCAAATACTGAAATAAATGTTAAACCGAACGTTAAGTTGGCAGACATTTCTGTAACTCCGAGATCAAGTGGTAGGACGTCTTTCCCTAACATCACTTTTCCCCTAGCGAAAGCCAAATTTACTAGTGAGGGTACATAGTACAATAAATCGTCGATGAGTGTTCGAAAGCTCCTACAAGGTTCCCAGGTGTAACGCTAACTTTTCAATGAGGTTCGACACAATGATAGAGCTTCGAATTCTGAAGCCAATGATATTTGTTTCAGCTGCATATGACCATTACTTTATAAAATACTCAATGTTCCGTGCCGAGGACCTGTCGAACACTTATCGAGAATTTACTGTAGTACTGCTTTTACTCACTTGCACTCATTATTCAATCGTATAGTCTTGCGATTTAGTATATCACAAGACATATTTTGTGGTTGTAATAAATTATTTTGAAGCTATTCCCTATTAGGCTACTTATTTTTCCTATGCCCACTACTAATGATTACTTTAATGATTAATTTAATTGGAGTATAACGATAATGTTGGTTATATTGTCTCTTTACTTCCACTTCTAATGTTAACTCGTAATTATTGCAAAATACAAACAAAACAATATCTTATTTATCTATCTCAGGGAAGACCTCTTCTATACCCCCACTTCCAGCAACCAATTACGATCCAATAAGACTTCACAGTCTAAAAGGCGTGTAATCGATATTTTCTTCGAAACGACGCAATTATTTTCAGATCGTAGTTAACGATGACAATGCACCAATAGGGACCCAATGGACCAACCACGACTGACACACATTACACGCGATATCTCTGCACTCGTATACGCGGCGGTAACGGCTATGAAAGGGTTGAATCGCGCGACAAGAAACCCTGGCATAGCCGAGGGAATTTCCCGCGTCCGGACAATAATTCTTCGCGGGGCGTAGAGGACAGAAACGATTTATGAGTGAACTTCCTACGGTAGAGGGGAGGGGGCAGAGAGGCGGCGAAATAAAAAGAATCGACCAGAGGCTTGACCCAGACCTATTTAATCCGTTTGAACGGCCGCGTTTTGTAACACCTGCTGCTGCGCACCGTCGCGACCGCTGACAACTAGTTCTCTCTAAATTGCCGTGACAGCACAATAGCCGTGAAAACGGTTTATTTAGAGAGGAAAAATCCGCGGTAATTAACAGAGGGACGAGAATACACGTTTTTCTGCCGTGTTAACTTCGACACGGAGCACAAGAACGGTCTCTTGACGATACAAATAATCAGCGAATTATCGGTGGCTGTTCGGCAGCTTTGCATCTCGTTCGACGACCGTAATCGTTCGACGCTTGTCGGGAGAACCTTTGCTCGTTCGACTGGCACGAGAATTAATCTTGTTATACGATAGAAACCTGATTTTATAAATCCGATTCGGTTTTTATGCGGACGAAGAGGAATCGATTGCACTCCTTTCACAGAATCGACAACGTGTAGGGGAAAGGTGTCTAAAACGATCCCTTTAAGGTGTAATATGTATAAAAAAATACAAATGCTCATTATTTAAATAAAAGTAAACTAGTTTTTGTAAGTTAGTTTATCTATCTTATTATTGACTTAAATAAAATTTAGCTACGTGATCAATTATATTTTTTATCCACATTTCTTTGAAGGCATACTTAAGGACCATTGTGTAATGTATGTATATAAAATGATCCCCGGGGATCGAACTATTGTATAATATAGCAGATACTTTGGTAAATATACCAGAATTTTTTCAGATTTTTAGGAAGCTTGAAACAGTGAAAGAATTATTAGTCTTTGACAAAAACGACCTTGTGCTTGTCTACGGAGGATGAAAAAGTATGTTTGTCTGCGGATAATTAATAATAAATTAATATCGACGTTGTATTTTATACGTGATGGTTAGTCTTGGGATATTTATTCCAATTCATGTGTGTAAAGATTGATTTATGAAAACAGAAATCAAACGGGTACTTATCGTCAAAGATTTTGTTCTATTGCATCTCACGTCTTTGGCATCTATTACGAGTGCAGAAGATTCACGATCTGGTAATCATTGGAAGTAACGGTATAACCGAGTGCTATGTGTACTCATAAATATTAGTCGATTGAATATCTAAGTACGGGAATAGCTTGTTGTCCGTGAACTTCCGAAGTGCTTGGTACCGTTCAGCTGGTCTGCAAACTTTTAACGAGTAGATACAGGGTTCGAAACTGTACTTACAAGTACTTCGAACTCTGTAAGTATCGAATCTTTTTCAGTAACATTCAATGTATAGGTACAGATAAATTGTATAAGATGTACTAATAAGTAATCCACTATGTTCCCTTCAAAATAATTCGAATACATAACCGATTTTTAACAACACTTGGCACTTGTTCCTAACATCCTCTGCCACTTTGTTCGTTTCAAAATAATTCGACTACCTAACCTATTTTTAACAACGTTTGGTACTTATTCCCATCACCCTCTGCGACTCTGACTGAACAGGAGATTGGAAAGATTGTAATTATAATGAACTAACATAAGAGGCCGTCAAAATTTTCATTCCAACAATTTTTTTATATCTACTATAATTTTCAAGATATACAAGAAAATAGGAAAACATACATTAACCTTTAATCCTTTTAGTACCTTACAATCTTTCTGTGCAACAGCTAGAAATACCTTGGAAAATATGCATTGTTGAAGGTATTTCTTAAAATGAACACACTTTTTCTAAAAACAAAGATAACACCTCTTTTATTTGTATTTTATTTTACGCAAAAAATATTGGAAGTATTAAACCTTCGTCACTTTCTATATCAGAATTTACCATTTGCATCACAGAGGTATGTTTTCACCATAAAAAACCGAATACCAAAAACGTAAAAATTGCCCGTCGTTGCTATCAAAGTTCCCTACGAACCTGCGATGTTTAAAAAAAAATTGGAATTTTCAGGGCACCAAGGTTTTTTGTAAGTGAAAGTCTCCGCCCCAAAACTTTATTTCCAACGAAAAAAAAAATTGAGGGTATCAGAAAAGTGATTTCTGCGTAGGTGCCTAGTTAGTTAAAAAAAAAAAATAAATAAATAAAGCTCAACGGAAGATTTGCGGTCTCTGTGCCATAATAGGCCAGGCCGCAGCGACCACGGTCGGCGCACTTTCCATTTTGTTTGGTTGATGACGCAGCGGCGGCAGCGACGCAGGCCGATTTATCGTCGCGAGTTTACGGGAACGAAGTCAGAAGTTCCAGACAGTTTGTCGACAATGTTTGACCCAGACCCATTGAAATTCCCCTCCCGTTGGATATCGGGTCGAACTTAAAGCGGGCAAAGATTCTTGGCGCGCTTCCCACAAAAGCCTTGGAAAAACCGAGAGTGCGCGCGCTCAGCCGATGTGTTCTTTCGACATCTCTCCGTGGCGTCCAATTAAACGCAGGTTTTTTTTTCTTCTTTCGTTCCAGGGAAGTGTTTACACCTGAGCGGACTGACACCCGAACCACTCACGGCGGATGACGATTACAAGCTGTTGCGCTTCGGTATCGGTTTCACAAATATGGTGGCTCGCGCCACTAAAGGCAGTGCCGATCTCACAAGAAAAGAAATCAAAGAAGGTCAGTACAACCGACGAATTTAGTTAGGTTCATCGTTTCAGTGTTTTAGGGCATTTTCGAAAACGTGCACTTGTGTGGTTGATTGTTTTTAACGCTAGAACTACCGACGATAAACGCATATTTGCTTCGATCGGTGGATAAACGTGAAAAACTTTTGAAAATTTAGAAATTTAGAAATTAACTAGTTTCTTCATTTTCATATCGTAATAAAAGGTGCAAAAGATCTGAGAAAGTGTATTGTCATAACATTTTAATCGTCGTTGTAACAGTCTATTGACAAGTCATTTTGAATTGCTTGGTAGTTCTAGTGTTAAGATACGAGGAGTATACTCGACGAGAGCAGAGTAAATGCATTACTTGCTGTGAAATGGAATTAAATTCTAATAAGATGACAGAATTACATTTGCGACTTAAGCGTCATCTATTGTCACGAACAAGTCACTGCTTTGTCAAACAGCCCTCGTATAAAATGACAAATATGTTTTTCGTTTTACCTAAATTTTACTTTAAATAACAAATGCAAATGTTGTTTGTTTAATGATGAGAAAAAATGCGGTCGTTCGTGAGTATACTCGACATAAATATCGAAAGGGCTAACAGTAGACCCACCAAACCAGTCCAAATCAGTGGTCAGTACACTCTTATAACGATGATTGAAATGTTATAACAATACATTATCTCGGAATTTCACGACTTTCAGTGCAATATGTAAATGAAATGATTTTTTTTAATTCATTATGTTTAACGATCCGATCGAAATATGTAGATATATGTTTAACGTCGGTAGTTCGATTGTTAACCTTGAACGAAGGACTAAAAATAAAAATCGTCACACGGGCGAAATCGAGAGGGATGAATAATTTTAAAATTTTTAATACTAAAATAAATTTTAAATAAAAGTCGAAATGACGGATTTCAAATTTCTTTTGTTTTAAAATTACTGAAACTCTAATTGTACTTTGTTGGAATTTAAATTGACTTTTGCTTTGTTATAGATTTTATATTATTCCATATTATATTACATCCTATTATATATTACACGTATCAATATATTCAAATTAATTAAATACAAATTAAATTATCGAAGAAATTAAAATTGTGATATATAGTATGTTCGGAAACTAGTAAGTTTTTGTGGTGGGGAACAAAATCAGCACGTTAAACCAACAAATACGATCGTGTAAAGAATTGGGACAAGAAATGTAGTGAATTAAACTGTTCCATTACAGATTTTAAATAGGTAAATATAAATTAAGCCAATTAACAAAAACATCCTGAGTCAATAATAATTGAAAGCAACTTAAAATAGGCGTATGGTTATAGTCGTTCCTACAGATATGTAGCAATAATCGAGAACAATTACTTCAACTTATATCTTGCCATGCGCCAGTTAAAAATAGAACGTCTGTTACCAATTAACTCTGTTACCAATTGGCTGTGAAAAACATTCTCTCTTCTTTCCATAAACTGTCCTATTTTTCATCAAGAACAATACGATAACTCCTCATTAGGGACACAGATGAAACGTTCTTACATCAAGAACGTCGAATAAAAATCAGATCTTCATTAAGAAAAGATTTAATTATCGTACGAACTGTTTAAACGTGCATTTCCGAAACATTCGAGACACCGAAATAGCCTCTATTAAATGCACGAAATTACAAATGATTTTTCCAACGATATTTTCCGCACAATGGAACAATAAATTGAATCGACAATTGAACAATTATTTTATGCCACCGAAATACAAACACGGTCGAAACGTTGTCCGTCCAGTGAAATTAATTGTTAACGAACAAAACTCCGCGATTCCTGATGTAAATTAATTGGACGGCAAAATTTCGAGGTTTGCCCGGGCGAAACAGATGCGTGCAATTCGGACGGTTATAAGACGCCAAGAACCGTGTATCTAAACGGTTGCGAAAATTTTAAACATACCGTGCACACATGGACGATAAAAACCAGCCCGCCTTCCGACACACACAGACGATTGCGTTCCGTACGCGACGAAAGGGTCCCCAGAAAAATATCGTGAACGCGTGTTCGTCGGGATTCAGTAACCGTTTACCAAAAATCAGAGAAGCAACGATACGAGTTCGTGCATCGAAAGGTGCGTATCTCCTCGCCAACGGTCATTTATTTATTTGCCCGTTAGCTTATCGGGCAGCGTATTTTATGTAAATTGTTCTTTTTTTCCGGATTTCGGCCCCATTCGATAATTCCCTCTCTCGACACCGAGATAAATACCGGTTCTGTAAGTTACGCGCGACAGAAGAAAAAAAACAACAACAAAAAATAATTGTCGGTCTCCGTCAACGTAATCGTTCTTAAAAACAACGGTTCGTCGGGCGGGAGGAAAGCCCATACCCCCCCTTGTCGACGAAAAATAATCCTTCTGTTCGAAACTACGATTCTTTCCTCGCGCCCGCCTCGTTCTACCGAAGACGATGCTAGCTCATTAAAACGATGAAGGTCGATTGATTTATTCCCTCGCGACAGAAACGATACAGTGTAACGAAGTTATCTGCTTAACCACGAACGCCGAGAGCCGTTCCCCTTCTCGTTCCCCAATTAATCGTTCTCTGTCCGGAATGCAACTTTGCGAACGCTTAACTACCGCTTGAAAAATTTTCTCGGGACAGTTTTTGTCGAATAAACAAACCGTCTTTGTAGACGGTTTGTCTCGATAGTTTCGGTTGTAACGACCGAATACAACGAAAGAAGGACGGTACGTAAAGATTTAGATCGCGTAATAATGAAACGTGTTACGTGCACAGGGAAAACGAACGGTAATCACCGTTTGTCAATAAAGGTTAATTTACTTACCGTAGATAGATGTTCGCCAGCGCCGTGATGTTTAACGACAAGCAGAGACTCGATTGACGATCTATCGGTTCTGACGCTCACCGATTCCTTCCCTTGTTCCTCGTCGACCAGGTGCACCGATAGTCGCACTTTCAACAATTCGAAAATATACGTGAAAACAACGAAAAACAATCAACGATAATCACACCGATCGGCTTCGAGTTTCGGCCGGTTCGTCGTGCGATCGTCACCGCAAGAAGACTGGCGGCACGCGGCATCCCACTGTTGCCAACCTCGGCCCCTGAAAATCTCTCGCGCGCACGAATCGCGATCCATGCATGGCTTGCTAACGACGCGCGAACCGACAGTCCCGAGAGATAAGGAAAACAAAATGCGCGTTCAACTGTCGGGAACGTATCGACCTAACTAACCGATGATTCAAGATACGGGATGTTTGAAAACACGTGGAATGATACAACGGTACACGAGTATTCTTGAAAAATAGGGTAAACCAACCAGTAATTGACTGCATACCAGTGAATGATCATTAGGCAAGAAATGTAAATTGTAAATTGAAAAATTATTAAATGTTTATAAAATTTCTAGTTTAGTATATTAAGCAAACATTAATGTAATCTTATTGTAAATTAACGGGCTTCGTCCCGTGGAAATAAATATTATTGTTATTATTATTATTAGTAAGTGCAATTCTTATTAAAAATATTTCAGAAATGTAACAGTCATTTACTGGGCTTTTACACGTGTTGCATTTTATAAATAATTTTTTTTAAATTACGATATGGATAAGTAATCATTTTTATAAAAATTTCAAGAAAAATAAATGTAATTGCAATTTCAACAGCTGTTTTGTTGTTATAAATAAATACATTCAAGTATTAATCTTATGCGTCCAGAAATTCAATAATTCGGTTATTCACTGGTTGGTTTACTCTATATTTATTATCCACGAGACAGAAATTTTCTCGTGTGATATAACCATGAACAATGTAGGCGAGACAGATACAGTAATGAACGAATAGAACAATGAGTGAAGTGATCGGTTTCAAATTAACACTAGAACTACTAAGCAAGTCAAAATGACTTGTCAATAAACTGTTACGACGATTAAAATGTTATGACAATACACTTTCTCAGATCTTTTGTACCTTTTATTACAATATGAAAATGAAGAAATTAGTCAATTTCTAAATTTTCAAAAGTTTTTCACGTTTATCCACCGATCGAAGCAAATATGCGTTTATCGCCGGTAGTTCTAGTGTTAATGAACGTAAGGGTAACAAAGTCAGTGATTATGCAAACACCGTAGGCAAACTTGGATATTCGATCAGTGCAATTAGATTTATAACTTTGTAGTCGTGGACAGTTCGCGTGAAATAAGTTACTATGTCACAAGTTTGTTGCTAAACGTTTGAACAATTTATGCCACCTGTTCTCTAATGTTAGAAAAACTGGTTGAAATAAAACACTGTCACTGTTAAGTATATCACGACATACAAATGTGACAGCTCATTTGAAACGTGATAAAACATAGAAACACTGTGCTGAATAGTTCCTAGAAATACGATATGACAGTCGTAATATTGAGTTCAGATCAAAGAACCATGTGTCAAAGGAGATCTAACCAAAGAAGGGTACAGCATTCTCCATCGCCATATAAGATCGTCCCGCTCGATTGACGTAACAAGATTTTCTAGAACAGTTGACACTGTAGTACTATCGCTTTCATTGGTTAGGAACTTGTTCCTGTCTTGACTACATTGTACAGGTTAGCGCCACTGGATGATATGTAGCAGCATAGCAATGTGATGATATAGGGGACAATATAGCGCGATCTTATGGGAGAATACTGTATTACATAATCTTTATTACAATATCGGTTGACCCAATAAGTAGTTCACAATTTTCTTCTCAGATTAAATTAAAAGTTTATTCTCACTCTTGTATTTCTTTGAAACGGCAGATGTTATCGGAGAACGAATATGAATATTATCAGATTATTAAACTAGACTAGACTTTCGATTCCAAAATGTCTGGATATTAAATTTGATTAAGCATGGTCGAATCACTTATTCAAATTTAACTTTATTTACAATGAAATTTTGTCAAATGAATTTTCTTTTGCAGGTAGTCACATTCTGTTAGAGAAATTACGAAAGTACAAGCCGAAGATCGCGGTATTCAACGGTAAACTCATATACGAGGTGTTCTCGGGAAAGAAGGAGTTTGGATTCGGTAGACAGCCCAATCTGGTCGAAGGAACCAATACGGTAAGATGAAAGAGAACTAAAAATTTTGAATTACGCCGTATCGATAAGATTCTGTTCAATAACGCTCGACAATTCGTTTGCAGTACATGTGGGTGATGCCATCGAGCAGCGCGAGATGCGCGCAACTGCCGCGTGCGGCGGACAAAGTTCCGTATTACGCGGCGCTGAAGAAGTTCCGCGACTACCTGAACGGCGCGATTTCTCATCTGGACGAGTCCGACATCGTGTTCGCGGACTCGAAGCTCAAGAAGAAGGAACAGGACGCAATTGAGGACAAGAAGCCGGTGTTCTGCGACGATCTGACGAACGAAGGGGAGAGCAGGATGACCGACGTGAACGGAACGCCCATAAAACAGGAAACGAATTCACTGATGCCTGGGAAGAAGAAGAGAGGCAGACCGAAAAAAATAAAAAATCCCGAAGATCAACCGCCTCCCGATCCCGAGAAACTCGACGCGAACGGGGAGGTGATAAAGAAGCGTCGCGGCCGTCCGAAAAAGATTCATCAACAGCAAAAGCAACAGGAGAGGGAGATGAGAGAGCGGGAACAACAACAGCAACAGCAGCAACATCAGAGCATGGGCGGCCATCTTAGTGACGGTTACGGAATAGTGCCCAATTGTTTCTCGCCACCGAAGACGTTCGCGCACATGGCTCCCTATCCGCAGCCGATGAACGATTCCGGATACTATGGACAGGGCATGAACGACAGTCCATACAACATGAACGCAAAACAGAGCCCGGTGCATCTACAGCATTACAGTCAAAGCCCCAAATCCATGTCGCTCTCGTTCACCCATTCCGATCTCTCCTCGGAGATCAACACCGCGATCTCGTCGGAGAACAACCTGGAACCGTCGCCGTTGACCTCGCCGAGTGTCGAACACCCCGATTTCGAGCCACCTACCAGTATCTCTCAGCAGAACATGAACAACGATCATCGTCAGTACAATCCGGCTGGAAACGGTGAGAACCCCGGCCATCACGGTAGCCCGGGCACACCGTCCCACCCGAGTTACACCAGCTACATGGGCTACCACGAACAAGCCTCGGAGCCCCACAATCCTCATCCCCATCAGACAACACCGACACCGTTGAGCCAAGCCACCGACGAGCATTCGCACCACTCCCATCCGACGCCGCCGCACACGCATCCCCATACGCCGACGCACTCCTCGATGTCGCCCCATCATCATCCACACGAGCAGTACGGAATCAAGAGGAACACCGGCCAGGACGTAGCGTCGAAGAGTCTCAGCGACTTGGAATCGCTGGTCGACCAGATACCGAGTATAGCAGACGGTGGCAATCAACGCCTGCAACACGGCCATCCAGGCATGAATGACGACGGTTCCCTCGCGGAGAAGATGGACGCGCACCATCAGAGCTATCTATCGGGCTTCTCCGGAATGCC